TAATTGAAAATCGACAACAATTAGCTGCTAAACATCTCCATCAGCTCTGTACTCACGCTTGGGCTTTCTCCGTCCTTCTTCTCATCTGCTGCTTTCCGTCTGTGATCAGAAGTAAAGTGTGTGTGTGTTTAATCATTTGTGTTTATTATCAGTGTGTATTACGTGTGGTGTCGCTCATCATGACCCATCGTTTAGGCAAGCACATGGTACCCACTGAATAAAAATAAAACAAGCTAATTGCGAGTTTTATCTCACAATTCTTACACTAACTCTGACTTCTCACAATTCAGAATTGTGAGATATCATGAACTCGAATTGCGATTACAAAGTCCAATTCTGAGGGGGAAAAAAAGTCTATTTTCTTACAGTCGCGAGTTTATAACTCACAATTCTGACTATATAACTCGCAATTGCGAGAAAAAAGTCAGGATTTAGAGATCATATCACGAAATTCTGAGAAAAAAGTCAGAACTGCGAGACGTAAACGTGCAATTACGAGAACAAAAGTCAGAATTGTGAAATTAAAAGTCCAATTACCGTTTTTTTTTTTTTGTTCGACGGTGGAAAAAGGCTTCCCGATAAAATGTTTTACAAAATGAACTTGTATAAAACGTGATTGTAATTTAGTAAAAACATTAAGTTACTAATTACAACACTTTCATGTGCATAGTTATTCAAACAGCACATAAATTATATACAAAGAACATTTACATTATCAAAGAACGCTCAAAAAACTCCCCCGTTTCCAAAAAACGAATCTCTTCCTTACATCGTACGTACATTTCCACTTTGTTGTTTATGACGCGCTCAACACAACTCATCTGGACGCCTCTGATTGGCCATCGCATTCATAAGCTCAACAGAATCGCGTGTGATTGGATATAATGCGGAACGCTGTAAAAACGCATAATTTGATGCACCATCTAAATTTAATGCCGCAATTGACATTTTTCATTTCATTTCCACTTTATCCGTGACATCCTTAATAGATTTAGTTTAATTATACAGGGCCATTTTTGCCCCGAGCCCCTGTTAATTCCAGACCCGTGGCCAGAGGAAGGCTAAGTGTCTCTGACCTGCGAGCGAGCAGCGCGTTCATCTCCTCCATCAGGCCTCCGCTTCCGCCGCTGCTCCGGTTGGCTTCGTTTTTGGCTCCGGACGCAGAGCTTTCCTCCATCTGCGGACAAACATCAACACAAACACATTATCTGATGATCCGACTCTTTTTGTTTTCCTACGTTCATTGATATTATTGGCCTCTTTGGGAATGTTTTTTTCATGTGAGATGTGAGAAAGTGTTTTTGGATGCGATTAATCGCGATTAATCGTTTGACAGCACTAATAAATATACATATTTTATATATAAATCTAACATATTTTTCCTTAATATATACATGTATGTGTGTGTACCTATATATACATAATAAATATACACAGTACACACACATATATTATGTAAACAAAAACTTTAATTTTGGATGAGATTAATTGCGATTAATCGTTTGATAGCAATATATACATGTATGTGTATCTATATATACATAATAAATATACACAGTACACACACATATAGTATGTAAACAAAAACTTTTATTTTGGATGCGATTAAATGTTTTGCAGCCCTGGATTCGTTATAAAGAATCAGTCAAAAAGACTCACAAACAGTCTCAAACTCAGTGTAATGACTCTAAATTCTCAAAAATAAAGGCTCCAGATGTGTGTTTTCACAGAAATGCCATAGAGGATCCATTTGTGGCTCCTAAAGAACCTTTCGGTGATCAGTTCTTAAAAGAACCATTTATTTCTTAGAGTAAAGAACATTTTAATCATCTGAAGAAACGTTTTTCACTATAATGAACCCTTAGCGGTCCACGGATGTTAAAGATTCTCAACCTTATTTTTTGTGTAGTAGAAATGACTATATATGACATTTTCAGTGAACATTTTATTTTATTATAAAGTACAATCTGAAGGGGATTTTGATCATGTTTGCAGCCAGTATGGACTGCCGTTGCCTGGAAATGATTCTGCTAAACATCTTTGGTTTGGGTTCGGTCATAGAGTCGGTTCCAGAAGCAAAAACTCCATTTGTTTTAACTATAACTTATAAACCATTAAAGACAGACCTACCATGAGCTACAAGGTCGCTATTTGATTGTATATGCTCTCGTTGAAGTCGTGTGTTCACGTAAATTCAACTTATTTTTTAAATAACTGCATTTAACAGCTAACCGACGTCGCTACAGTTCTTCTGGATTGAGTCTGTCTCAGTTTGTTCTGTTTCTTCATGTGACTCCAGACAGACTGATTATGATCAGATCAGAGCTCTGTGTGCAGCACTAACATATATCTCACTGCATTATTACAATTAATGGCTAAATGAATGTTTGGAAATGTAAACTGATATTTTCTACTGACACACTGCAGCAAAAGATAGAAATATCTGACTTAAAACCATTTTTAGCTGCTGGAAATACTAGTGTTCTAATAATTTTGGTCACCACTGTAACTCTCAAACAAACTCTTTTTAAAAATCTTTATGGGAAAAATGAATGTGAAAACACTTCTTGAAGCATGAGATGATGTCGCACCCTTTGCACACGGCGCAGTTTGGCTCCGGCGATCATGGCAGCGAGACCCGTGGGGGTGTGGCTATCGTCCTGGGCGTGGCCCCCGTACCCGCCCACAGGCAGAGGAGGTGGGGGAGGGGGCGGAGCTCCAGCAGAAGGGGGCGGCGGCCCGGGTGGGGGAGGGGGACAGGGACCGCCCATCGACAGAGGAGGCGGAGCCACAATGGGAGGAGCTACAGACAGCACCGCAGGGTGACCCTGAAACGGAGAACCTGGGAAAACACACACAAATCACTCATTACTACAGCGCTTCACAGTTAATGAGGCTTTAACTGTAAAGCAGCTCTGCAGAAGACAACAGTATCATTATTCAGATCAGTGTTTCAGTCGTTGCGTCTGACCTGAGTTGGACGATCGTCTCTCCCGCTCGATATGCGCCTGCATCTGCTGCTGCTGCATTTCCATTTGCCTGCGGAGATTAAATACACACATAAACACACACCGACATACCCATCATGCACTGCACACAGACCTCACTCACACACTAACGGTCAAGAGGTTTAATGTTTCTGAAAGAGTCTCTTCTGCTCACCGAGGCTGCATTTATTTGATCAAAAATACAGTAAAATTGTGATATATTATTAAAATTTAAAACAGCTGTTTTCTATGTGAATCTTTGTTAAACTGTAATGTATTCCTGTGATGCGCAGCTGTATTTTCAGCATCATTACTCCAGTCTTCAGTGTCACATGATCTTCAGAAATCATTCTAATATGCTGATTTGCTGCTCACGAAACATTTCTGATTATTATCAATGTTGAAAACAGTCGTGCTGCACAATATTTTTGTGGAAACCGTGATACGTTTTATTTTTTAGGATTCACAGATGAATAGAAAGTTCAAAAGAACAGCGTTTATTTGAAATAGAAATGTTCTGTAACATTGTAAATGTCACAAATGTGTTGGGAAGGTTACTGTGGAAATGTAACAGGTTACAGATTAAAAGTTAAAATGTAACAAGTAGTGTAACTATTTCAATTACTTTATTAAAGTAATGTAACTGATTACATTTGATTACTTTTTAATTACTTTACTAAATTTCTAACAATGTTTTGTCCTTTTGAAACATGTAAAGCAGGCAGGAATAGCCTAACAGAACTCAACACTGATTACTGTCAGACTTCTCAAAATCCTTCGTTACTTTAATTAAGATTGCAATAGTTTCATTTTAAAGCACAGCCACCACAATATCAGTCTTTAGCAGGTCTTTTACTTTGAGATCGTTCTGAGGTTAAATACAGATTTAAAACTAACACAAGATATAGTTTAATAACTATGATACTGTTTCTGAAATCAAATCTTTGCACAGTTACAACAGAAACACTGGCATCTAACAACGGCTTGGAAAAAACTGTTCATCTTAAAAAATAAAGCATAAACATAAACCCAAACAGGAAATAAAACAGTTATTGAATAAGCATGTGTCCTAAACTCCTGAAACATTTGTGTCTCATATATTAAAGCAGTAAATGCAATTTATGAAATAAATCAATTAAATCTGTTTGTGTGTGAAAATATTTAGACGTAACCCTCTTTGTAATCGCTAACATTTTCATAAGTAACTGTAATTTAATTACACAATTTTTCTCAGTAACTGTAACTGATTACAATTACTTTTATTTTGTAATTAAATTACGTAATTTATTTACATGTAACTAGTTACTCCCCAACACTGCTTTTGAGCAATATAATGCATCCTTGATGGATAGAAGTATTAATGTATTTTTTTGGGAACATGGTGCCGTGTTTCATATCTGATCTAATAATGAGTCTGACAGCAACATGATGAGAATCGATCAGATGCTCTTGAGTTTCCTGATGCGGGAAGCTGCACAGTGAGAGATGTGGAATTTTCCAGATGCATGATGGGACAGCAGAACAGCTGATGCTTCCTGTGACCAGCAGAGGGCGACGGTGTGTGTGTTTCACTGACCGCATCAGAGCAAAAACAGCTGTGCTGATTCATTAATCAGTGGAAATTAACACTTCTATTCATCTGTGATGCATTAAATTGATCTAAAGTGTCAGTAAATACATTCGTAATGTTACAAAAGATTCTATTTCAAATAAATGCTGTTCTTTTGAACTTTCTGTTCATCTGTGAATCCTGAAAAATAAAATGCATCACGGTTTCCACAAAAAAAATTGTTTTCAACATTGACAAGACAGTGTCCATATATCAGTAAGATCAGTTTGGTAAATATATGCTGTTCTGAACAACACCCTGCTCTTTTATTGGGATCTAGTTAAAGACTCGTGTGTGAATGTGATTTATACAGTACGGTTAATTTCTAGTGAGATATCACAGCAGTGTGTGTTTGTGCAGCTCACCGTCTCTGGACCTCCAGCTCTTCTGAACTCGGCCCGTTCTGGACTGGACGCTGAACAGCTGGACCTGAAAGAGACCATGAACAGTTTGAGGAACATGACAGCATCATCATGTGTGTCACAGATTCAGTGTCTGTGTGAGTGTGTGTGTGTGTCTGTGTGTCTATGCGTGTGTGTGTGTGTGTGTGTGTGTGTCTATGC